TTCAAATCGTGGAAAAAATTTGGCAGTTTTATCTTCTGGTGCTGAAGAAAGTGAATGCTTAATTTTTAAAACTTCATCCCCTACTTTATAAGTTACTCCCCGTCGTTTCAAGTCATAATACAGCTTTTTGTTTTCTCTGTGCTACTTCAGTATTCTTTTTTGCTTCTTTAATTAGTTTTTCTATATCACCCATTTTAAATTCTGGGGCTCTTTGTTGCACATAAAATAATTTATCTAACGGCGTTATAATCTTTCTGCCTAAAAATAACTCAGCAGGAGTTTTGCCCGTTGTATCATGTTTTGCGGTCCTAAGGGCGAAAGCAAATTCATTGACATAGTTATCCCAGCTTTTATGAAAATTTTTAACATAACTACGGATAATTTTCACTATATTTCTATTGACCCGTTTCCGCTATATTTGATTGCGGCCGATACGGGACCATTTTTAAATGACGTATGCCCAGTTTTTGGCACATGTCTTCAAATACATTACTTACAAATTGAGGACCATTATCCGATATAACTTTTAGGGGCGCCCGTATTTTAAAATATATTTATTTAAAATAGAATCAGTAACTAATTTCGCGGAGGCTCGTTTTAAGGGAACAATTTCGGTCCACTTACTAAAATGATCAACCATAACAAGGAGATAGCGACTTTTATTTAACTGACTTTTTGGGAAAGGGCCCAATAAATCGATGCCAATTATTTCATTTGGAAATTCGGATTTAATACTATTTAGAAACCCGGCCGGGCGGAAATTAATATAATTAACTGCTTGACATGTTGGGCAGGACTGGACATACGCCCTTGTTAACTTTTGCAGTTCAGGAAAATAGACTGCCTCGCGTACGCGTTGGATAGTTTTTTCGAATACCAGCATGAGAAGCTAAAGGGCTGTCATGGAGCTCCTGCAGGATATTTAATCTAAGACTAGCTGGGATAACAGGTCGAAATTCGTTGTTGGAATTCGTAGTTTTTGTATAAATAATAGACCATCTATTAGTTCGTAATGGGCCGCCCTATTTCTTATCGCCACAATATCTTGGTGGCTAAAATTTTCAGGATCCTTTAAATACTCATAAATGCTTCCAAACTCAGGATCCTTACCCAGTTCGGTTATTACAGTTTCTCGGGAATTTATTGTACATGCTGTGAGCATTGCCACCTTTACAGTATTACCTTCTTCATCTATTTTAATTCTGGATAGGGCATCTGCTACGATATTTTCCTTTCCGGGGGTATGCTTGATTACCAGATTATATTCTTGTAGCTTGAGTGCCCATCTTATTAACCTTGGGGATAAGTTTTTCCCTGAGTACAATCTAGTTACCGCCGCATGATCAGAGTACACTGTTATTGGCGCCTTTCCAAAATAGACTCGGAACTTTTGCACTGCTAACAGAACTGCAAGTGCCTCTCTCTCTCGGTCGCGGAATAGTTTCTTTGTGTTTGATTTAAAGTTCGGCTAAAAAATGCCACGGGCTGCTGATTTTGCGAAAGTACCGCTCCTACCGCATAATCCGAAGCATCCGCTGAAATTTCTAAATTCTCATCCTTTTCAGGAAATTTCAAACACAGGGGCTTGCGTTAATGCTTGTTTTAATTTTTCGAAAGCACTATTGGCTTCGGCCGTCCACGAGAATCTTGCCTTTTTCCTTTTTAATTTTAACAATGGTTCAGCAATAGCTGCAAAATCTTTTATAAAGGACCTATAATATGAACAAAGTCCTAGAAAAGAAGAGAGCTTCTTCGCCGTGTTTGGAGTCGGATACTTTTGTACAGCGATTATTTTTGATTCGTCTGTCTCTATTCCTTTCTGAGATATTTTGTAACCTAAATATTTTAATTCAGGGGCTGCAAATTTGCACTTTTCGACATTAACTTTTAGACCGGCCTCATTTAATAAAGAAAACACCTGTCTTAAATCCTGTACATGTTGGTCGAGATTATCACTAGTAATAATGATATCGTCTAAATAGATAAATGTGGACTTTCCAAGAACAGGTCCTTAACACAATGTCCATACATCGCTGAAATGTTGCCGGTGCCCCTGAAAGGCCAAACGGCATACGCAGAAATGCATAAGTGCCAGACTTGGTTATAAAAGCAGTCTTAGGCACGTCCTCAGGCCTAACCCCTATTTGAAAATAACCAGTCGTTAAGTCTAAAGTCGTCATATATTTGGTGGATGTTATGTTCCTTAGAATTTCTTCTTCAATAATAGGTAACGGATATACCGGATATTTAGTTATGGAGTTTAATTTACGGTAGTCAATTGCGAATCTCCACCTTTTTGGATGTGTCAATGGATAGTCATTATTTTTCTTACATAAAACCACCGGGCTAGCATAACTACTTGAGATGGGCGTTATGATCTTTTTACGTAGCATATCGGTGATATGCCATTCTATAATTTTTTCCTTATTCTTATCATACCGGTATGCTTTGTGGCGAACTGGCATTGAATCTCCGGTGTCAATACTATGGTTAGTAACCTGAGTAAATCCTGGAATATCACTAAATAACGAAGCAAATTCACTTACCACTTGTCGGATTCTTCGTTGCTCTTCATTAGGCAGGTGGTCAAGGTTTAACATCGGCGGTTCAGCCTTTTCTTCTCACGAACTGGTTTCATTGTCAGCTTAAGGGACGCTTCATTAAAATCCAGCGTTGCTTGTGCCTCTGAAAGAAAATCTATTCCTAAGATAATATGTGCTTGCAGATTCTTTACTATGAAAAACATAACCTTTACTTGTTCGTCCTTGATACGGACATACAGCGGTAATTTACCTATGCACATCTTTCTCCTTGCGCAGCTAACACTGTCGTATTATCCGAATTATATATGCGATATTTACGAAAATACTTCCTAAAAAAATCTTCTGCCACACAGGAACACTGCGCGCCTGTATCCAGGAGTGCGGTGGCTGGGATATTATTCACCAACACTTCAATCTTCGGAAGAGTCAAATTTTTCACCATTACTGTATTTAACTTGAAGGAAGAGGGGTTTTCGTGGCCTTCGGATTTCCGCACCCTCCCGTCAGCAGAAATCCGTTTTAGTTTAAATTATTTTTTTTCATTTCCGTGCTTTCCTTCTTTTTTCCACTGGCCTTGAGACTTTTTTCCTGGATTGCTATTGAACTGTCGACGTTCGCCGGCTGTTTTTGAATGCTCGGGTTTCCTTGCCCACTGATTCGCTTTGCTTCCGTAGCCGTGTGCTTGAGTTTGCTGTAGTCTTGGCGCACCAAATTGGTTTCGCTGTTGATATTGGCGTCTTCTTTCAATGTCCGCCGTTCTTCTACTTTCAAACTGGATTGCTAGCTCAAATAACTTTTCCAGTGTAGTCGGATTTCTTAATTCAATAAAGTCTTGCACTTGGGGCAGTAACCTCGGCAAAATCACTTGAATTATCTCAGGATCCGGACGGTTTCCATACAAGAGTTTGAAGACGTGAATTTTTCTTAAAATAAAGCTTGAGAGATTTTCGATTCTTTGCTGATATATGCTGAAAAGTTCCGTTTCTAATTTCGCACGATCCCTTACGACAGGGAAGGCTTTTACTAGGGCAGTCTTGAAATTCTCGTAAGTATAGGTGGGACTTCCTGCTTGACCCAAGAGACTTCTGCCTATACATTTGAACCAGTTAAGCGCTTGGCCCCTCAAAGCGCTGGTAGCTAAGGTAACTTTTTGAAACTTGTGCACGGGGTAGAGCATGAAGTGGTCATCCAATTTTTCCAAAAAACTGGTTACCGGTGAGTTTCCATTAAATGTTGCTTCTGGTTTCATCGAAGCGCGCATGGTCTGGACGATGTAACCAAATCCTTCCAGGGCGGCAGCTGGCATTTCTGGATTCTGAGCCGCTTCTGCAGGCAGCACAGGTTCTTCTTGAAACTCGGCCATGGTTATTCTTCTTCGTTGGGCGCCACTATCAGGTTCAATGTTCCGTCTTACTTTCTTCGGGAACATGCAAGGACCTGACTCGGAACAGAGAGCTTACTAAAGCTATGTTCAATAACTGTGGGAAGTAGACAGGATACACAAGAAGGGTATACAAAACCCTTTATTTTTCTCTCTTTACAATAATTTCCGTACTTCGGAATACAAAGACCCACTACTTGTGGTCTAAACGTAAGAATATAAAAATAAAACTAAACTCTAATTTAACTTTAGAATAATAAACGTGGAAGATTGGCCTTATATTAACAGGAAGCCGTATGTAGTACAGAGAACTGTTAACACTACAATACGTTTAAAATTTATCACGAGGATTAAACCTCTGGCCTGGAAGGCAACCAGCAACTGAGTAAAACTTCTAAGGTAAGCGGCCTGCTTCGACTAACTCCGTCCTCTCTCTCGCTTGGCAAAAAGCCACAACTTAAGTACTTGGCGTTCGCCAGACAAATTTTGCATAAATAAGTTAACGCTTTTAATTCTGGCCGGAAGTAGAAAATAAGAAGTGATAGTAAAGATTTAAAATAAAATAAACGTTAGTAAAACTTAAGATCTTACAATGTAAAATGTAATACGCGAAGTGTTGATTGTGCCGATGATCATGTGCAAAAAATATTTTCGATAATCAGTATAATCTGTCATCTTTACGCGGTAAAGTCTCTCCGAACCGTCATCCCGTCAGCTTACTCCAAGTCATCATATTTACATATATATATATATATATTATTCCGCCTGCTTCACTCCTCAATGGGCACTACAAATCAGTCGTGTTATTCTGATCGTTGCTACATTAACCTATTTTGGTTGTTTATCTTTTCAACCTTATTATAGATAAACAGATTTAACAATGGTTATTATTTTTGTTGGGTGTTCCAACTTATAATTTTTGGGGAATGTTAGTATAAAATTAGCAAAAAGGGTTAGCTAGCTTAGAGATATTTACATAGTATATACATGAGTTGAGGCTTGCTGCCTTTACATTTCGTCAGGTGCTTAGACCTGGTTATCTGCTATGATTAAGTTTCTCTTAGAATAGACATACTCTATGATAGTTCTGACGCCCCGCTGTCCGTAGTAATTCTGAAGAAGATCATTGAGGCTATGTGATCCCTGAAGCTGAGGAAGGAAGACTGATGGGAGAAGTGAGTGGACAGTCGTGGATGTAATGTGAAACGTTTGCTGAAGAAGCTGAAGTACCGCAGGCATTTTACGTTTTGATGGCAGAACCTGCTGAGGTACGCGGAAAATCTTCCGTGATTTGTGAAAGCTTCTTGTAGATAGAAATCTGTTTTCAGCCTTTTAGTGAAAACCACGGGAAAGATGGAGTAGGTGTGTCGACCGGTGTTTTTTTTTCTGAGTCGTCCCAGCGAGCTTGCCAGATGGACATGAAGGCGCAGAAGATCTTGTGTTTGGCAACGACTATGGAAAGTGGTATCTCTGAGTCGATGAAAGTGATGACTTGTGGCTTCTTTAGCTAAAGAGTCGGCCCTTTCGTTACCTTGGATACCTTGATGACTACGTACCCAGTATAGAGACACTTGCCTGAAAGAAAACAAGGTAATAAGCACTTCTTTTAATGAAGAGATGTGGAAGGCTTGTGTGCCGTTCTTGTTCAGTGCCTGTAGGACGCTCATGCTGTCCGTGTAGAAGCTGATGGATGAAAAAATGGTGTTGCCCGCCCAGAGAGCTGCCTTCTTTAAAGCGAAGGACTCAGCCTGGAAAACCGAGGCTTGGTCACTAAGTCTGAACCGTGCTGAGTGAATTTCTGTATTGTTGTAGAAAGCGATATAGGCTGCACCTACTTGCTCTGAAACTTTAGAGCCATCAGAAAAGATTTCTAAGTCCTGTCCTTTTGGTAGATGTTTATCTTCATTTTGCATCTTCCGTGAGAGAGGGGTGGACGGGAGTATAGTGGGAATGTGGTTCTAAGGAGCGCTGGTCTATGAATGAGGAGTCATCAAGCTGGAAGGTGTCCTTAAAATGAACTAACCTATAGTATATATATGTAAAATATAAAAAAATACTTTGGCTTTGCTCTACGCGAACAGGCAACCTCTAATTAACTTTCGGCAATTTCTGGATCTTTACCCTAGACCAGTATTTTAGAGAACATTCGAGCATATTACGTAATCGCTCCTATATAAATGAAGAAATCGCGCCATTTTGCGTCAGAGACTGCTTTCTTCTCCTGCTGCTATCAGACCTTTGCTGCCAGGGCATTTATGATCTATGCAACATATATATATATAATAAAATATGTAAAAATGCTTAATTATATCACAATAAAATTAATTTATGTGAACTGTAAAAATTGTAATGTTCTAACAATTGTTTTGTCATTGAGAAAACGTTAATATGTAGTTCATAGATGTTGTCAGCCAAGTAAGAAAGCTGCAAACTGTTGTTGTTGTGCAACTGAAATAAGGTATTGATAGAACAATCTGCTGAAATCATTTTCTTAGCACCAACTATTGCAAAATCTATGTTGCCTACAGCTTTTCATTTTGATTTGAAGAAAAGAACGTGTACTCTGTCTACAGCTCGAAAACAAATTCATGAAATGACAAGTTTACTCGTATGCACGAAGTAAAGTTACGGATGTAAAACATAGCACGCTGTGGCTGGACAGATAATATGAGAATTTTCTAGCTGTGGAAAATTTATACACTTAGATATAGTGTTATCTAGATGAAGCCAAGATTGAATTTCTGTCACAAGTTTAATTATACAATTCATAAAACTGTTAAGATAAAATATGAATTTTCAGTAAAATTATTTTACGAGTGTTCTTTGTTCAAATATCTAATATTTTTAATAAAAAATGTCTAAAACACTTGAATATTATATATAAATAATTCAAATATTTAAAATATTTGAACCGAGGGGAACTTTAAAATTTGATGCCCGCAGGCAACGCATCGCTGACCTCTAGTTTAGATTATTTCTAGCCGAAAAATGGACGAAAATCATCTATGCGTATTATAGTGACATTCAGTTTAGAAAAGATATCTATAAGTAATAAATTGTATCCATAATTTCTTTTTCATTATTATGCTCTTATAATTTTCTTATTCCGCAACTGGGACCGGTACGCATTTCAACGTCTCATTTAAGCTGTAGGTGTGTAAATAATAAGCGTGTTTTATATTTAATAAGTTTGTAAACTATTAATATAGCTGCAAATTCGAAACTCTCTTTTTAAATGTGTAAAGGTAAGATACATTTATGATGCGGATTCGGCTTCTATAACTAAGGTTACGAATTAATTTAAAATTTACTTCCGACTTTCTAGCCTCCAAAAAAACCCTATGTTTAAAAAGATTTAAAAAAAAAAACTAAAGGTATTTATCATATACAAGACAGGATTTGGGAGTATAATAATATAATAAACTAAAATATTTTAAAGTCTTCTCAGTATCAAGCACGAATATATGTACCGAAAATAAATCTTGTATAGATATGACAGATGGTTTATGATTGAACTAATTAACTGATAAGAAAAATTTAACAAATATATATTTTATTTTTTCGGCGAAGAAATAATACAGTCAACTCTCTTAAAGAGGAGCATCGCTGAAAGTGATCAGTATTTCTGAGAAGTTGTTAATATCTACACTGAAAATCATTGATATTCGTAAGCTCTGAGGTGACTGTCAACTACTTCTACAGAAGATCAAAATCGTCTAGAACTGCCGCTGATCATTTACGGAGATTCTACTGTATTTCGAATATTGAAACAATTCATTCCTGTTTGTATGCCTTCCTATCGCAGCAGAAAGAGATACATGAAATCTAAAAAAACGCTTTAAACGTTATTCCATTCTAGTCCTATGACAAGCAACAGTTTCTAATTGCTGCTTGTCTTATTATATCACTGAAGTAGATTTTGACTGAAGAAGACTGCTCACCAGGCAGTTATTTGTACACATTTAAAGATCCAAACAATCAAACAAATAAATGCTTGCATTGTAAACCGTCAATTTAATCGTTGCTACCCATGGCAACAAAGTCTAGCTTGTTGGCATACCACTGTATATAAATAAGGAAAAACGCGTCATCCCTTCACCCACTTTCTCAGTTAATAATAGCAGGCGTAACATGCAGAACAAAAGAACGTTGATGTCTTCTGTCGATATCCATCTTTATAAATATCCTAATATAGCGGAGCACTTGAGAAGTCTCCTGAAAGTTGCCTTTCATGGCAAAATAGGGTGTATGTGTACATGCTCCAGAACTGTTTGTAACTACTGAGACTTCAAAAATAATCCACTCTTATAATCCACTTGTGGGGTCTGTCAGAGTTCAAGCAGCTACGGCGAACACGATAAAAAAAAAAGAAAAAAAAAAAGAATGACCAGAAATATGGGTGTGCCTTAAAACGCGAAGTAGCGGTATATTGTCCTCGAAATGACCAGGTTGCATAAGACGTCCATTCGTGGTCATGGTAAAGTCTTGATTTCAGAAGGTGAGATTCTGAAATTGCTTCGATTTAAAAGCTAGAGTTTTAAGTGACGTCATCAAACAGAGGCCGGTTTTTCTATGGATAGTCTTGTAACAATGAAAGGATGTCTTCGCAATTTTCTTTTATTCTGATATACTTTGTGAATCTGTGATGTGTCCTTTAATGTGATGACTATGACAGAAGTAAAAGCTTGAAAGAGAAAGAAAACGAATCTTAATTCATGAAAGAATGGCTAGTAATACGTAAATTTAATCTTTTTCTTGAAGATATTTATTAAAATGTCTAATAAATTAAATTAAAATTTTCGTACCTTCTTTTAAAATGTAAGACTGAAAGAAAACTAGGGAGAAATAAAAAAAATATATATATATCAGGCTCTCAGGAGCCGCCTAAATATTTTTTCACTTGAGGTAAAGAAGTAAATTTGCACTCCAACGTAAATTCAAGTTAACTATATGAGTATACTTTTATAGTCATCAAAAAGTAATTATATTCAAAAGTAAATATATAATCATGATATTTTTAATTACAGCTTTATACATTCAGAAAAGTGATGCAATTAATGATATATAATTTTTAAATAAAAAACATTAAATAATACGTTTTCGATAAATATCAAATAACACTGTAAAGTAATTAATTGAAATTATATTACATTAATGCGGCCGAGAACTTTTTTAATTTAATACTTTCATGCCCTTATTTAAGTATTTCAAATTCTACCTGATTTCCTAGATCTAATTCCATACAGCGAATAGCTATGTTTGAAATATTTCCTTTGTCAAGCGAAAGTCTTATATAATTTTATAATATTTTGAGTTTGTTGTTAAAACATGCTTAACGTCAACTTTAAAAATTCCGATATGATTGAATTAGACTATATTCGTCTATTATATCTGAAAGATCTAAACTTGTAGGTGCTAAGCATTCAGAAAAATCCTGATTTTTAAAAATAAATAGAAAGTGATAAGCCATCTATTATATATATTTGCATATTTAAAAATAAATAAAAAGTGATAAGCCCTCTATTATATACGTTTGCATTTGCCTGCCTAAAAGAAAGATGTCTTCGTCGAGAATTTTCTAAAGGAAATTGGTTCGTACTTAACATTATATTCGCAGAAAACCTTCGAAACTCATTCTTTAGGATTTCAGCAAAGGTAATTAATATGTAGTTACAGTTTTTTATTGCGAAATTGTATTTACTTTCTCTTGCTTCCAGTATTAAATTTGATGTAGATAACATACATAAAATCCTTTATTAATTTGTTTAAAATTAATTTTATTTTCCATACGTTGCCATGGCTTATAATTTGATCTCTTAAGGAATTCAACGCATTAATGTAAGTAATAATAACGAAATAAAAAAATGTTATATATAAGAAAACAAACATTCTTATATATATTCTTATATATTCAAGGGGAAGTTGCCTCCAAGCCTAATTCTCCAATTACTCAATTCGTGTTTCGTCATCCATATAGGCAAGGGTATAGTAATATTCAAAACCAAAAGTAAATCAAATGCTGTGAATACTAAAAAAGAAATTTAAACTAAACAGGAATTTAAGAAATTTAGCAAGTAAATTGACTAAAAATTAAAATATTAATTAAATGCCAAATTAAAAGATAAAAACCAATTTTTAGAAAACCAAAGTTTTGTATATACAATTTTAATAATATCAATAAAATTCAAATTATAATTAGCCTCATCAGTCTCTTTTAGCATCTTCATATACCCTGACACATGCTTACAGAATATTCTGTCCCTCAACAATTCAAAATTAAATTTCTTTCCTTTTCATATCCAAGAGTTAAGGATTTTTCTGTCAAAATTTAAATATAAATAATTTTAAATCATTATTAAAATAAGTTTTTGAATGGTTGCCTGATTAAAGTAAAATAAGTCAAGGCAGTTTAATTTAATGGGAGGACCATCGGGAGGACATTTTAAGCAAAATTGGCTCGTATTCACGTTACATATGAACAAAAACAAGAAAGCATTCATGCAGCCAGGATATCGAGCTACCACTTTTTAGTGGCTTATAACACTTAGCCACTGACGAAAATTAAGTCCTTAATTGCAATTATTTTCTATGTTCCTTTATTCTTACCATGCATTGCCAGTGTTTTTTTAACTGAGTGTCTATTTGAATTAAAAATGTTAATAAAAAAAATTTATTTGATTGTTTATTATAGTTTTCTAAAACTTTGAGCTTTTAACACTTATGACTTTCTATAAACGTTTGAGCTCTTTAACACTTATGACCTTTTCTGTTATCTATATGGTATCCATGAGCTAGGATGTTAACAGTGAAGATGTGAAGATACTAGAGAACCATAAAA